ATCGACATAAACACCAAGGCTAAGGTTCCTGAGATGGATGGATGTGCTGTTCCTCCCTCTCATACATCATACACTGTAACAGCTTGGGGGCGGGCTACAGCCAGACAGCCAAAACTCACGTGTGGAAGTGCAACATTTCATGAGCACTTTGTAACTCCGTAACACAGTTATTAATCTTTGTCATCTAACCCTTTTTTTTTAACTTTTATGATATTTTTTTTTTTACTATGTATCCATTTGTCTACAAACGGCTGTTGTGTAAACACTTATTTTAAATGCAAACCCTTTTGTCATTAAGGCTTTTATTTATTTATTAGATATTTTACTTTTTATACCGTTTTATTTTAAAAGTTCAGTAAACAATCCTAGAAAACATAAACAAACATGTTGAGGTCAGAAGTCTGATTTGTACAAAATCTTGTTTTTCCTCCATGCAGAACCCTTTGCGTCCACTAGATGTCACAGTTGGTAGTATTAAGTTCGGGGGCTGGTGTTGTTAACAGTGGGCAAACGTGCTCTGCTGAGCTGCGACGCATCTTCTTTTTATAGCAACATCTCTGCCGCTGTAATTCTTCTCCTCTCAGGTCCATTATATGATCAAAATACTTTTTACAGAGGACGTGAGGCGAAACTTCACTGCGTCATAATTGGAAATAATGGTGTTTTCTGCCTCAATGAAATAATAACAGATTAGTTTATACTGCTCCCAACTCTGCATCTAGGTTGTTATAAGCAACAGATGAAGGTGGTTTAAGGGTCTGATATATTCAGACAATGAATGCTAAAAATCAGACAAATCACACCACTGTAATGAGGTGAGAGCCTTACACATTGAGTGCTTTGTTAACAAGCATGCCAACATTACAGCAAGGTTTATTTGTTTTCATTGTATTTTTCCAGCACCTTGAAAAGTTCCCCCACTGCCTCAGAGACCTATAAATATTACAATTAGCACCGTTAACCTGTTAACGCTGCAAATTTACACCTGGTACTGTAATTATGACTACATTGACAAATGTAATTTTTATTATTTCTTACTTTTTTATTTATTTATTTTTTTACTAAAAGCATTTTTCTTGCTCTCGCAGGAGCAAAGATTGCACCATCATTTCCCCCCTGGGCATCAATAAATTATTTCTGAACATGATGTTGTTTTGGTTTCAAAGATACTGCAAGATAGAACATAATATTTTGATGATTGTGATTGTTTGATCTATGCAAACAAAGTTATACACACATACAGAGAAAAAGTTGGAGTTCACTGGTCAAAAAGTTGAGTGTCAAGTTAAAAAATTATTACCTTAAATTATTTAATCTCTGGGTTTATTATTAATCATACACCAGCAACATTAGTGACTTTACTTGAGGTAACGTCACACTGGGTTTCCTGTATCATTGAGCACCCATTGCGTAGTTGTACTGTACACCTCTAAACACATGATAACACCTGCCGTGTTGGTACCTATCTTCACACCGACACCTTCTATTAAAACAAAGTTTAGATTGTGTTCAGGACTAAAATAATCAATTAGTTTGTATTCGAAGACTATGATGAGCCTCAGCCTCATCTTTAAGGTTTTTTGGCAGCTCTACAACCTTTGACTCAATAACACACAATAATGCCTCACGCAACAGCAACAGCAAATCTCATCAGAAGGCAACATATCGCCACAGTCTCCTGCACTACGACAGGAGGCTCATTAGAACCTTAGATTTTAGAAGTGTTGCTTCTGGAATTATATTTTAACCTACAACTAGAATACGAGCTCTGGTTTAAAGTGATGATTTTCATCTGTGTACACGTCGATACCATGTGCCAGTACCTATACTTCTTTAGGTTATTCAGCACTGTATTCAGGTGTGCTGGTAATTAGCGAACATCACATCAGAACGACTCTTACATTAGGTCTCGCTCCTGTCTCTGCCCTTGATGTTAAAACACCTCCAAAACTGCTGACACCGTTGACCTAATTAAATAAACTACCCATGAGGACAGGGAGACACACAACTGCAGTGGAAAAACACAAAACACTTGACCTGCGCAGAGCCGCCTGTGGTGAAAAGCCAGTACAGACTATCGGGTCGCTGGAATTAGATGTTTTCAAGTACGAGTACAAATACTAGAATGAAGTATCGATCCATCCATCCCTTGTTTCAAGGATGATACGACATGAACAGTATAATTGGCTAAAGTCACGTCTCAGCTGCTTCACTGCATCAACGACAGGTGTTGTGTAACCTGTCGTATGAAAAGGTGTGACTTATCACACAGGAACCGTATAAGCCAGACACCTTTACACTGAACACATGTACACACAGTGTGTGGCAGAACATTAGTATAAATCCTTTGCTGTTTCCTTGCACTATGAGTAATTATCCCTTCACACACATTCACATACATACATACATACATACACACACAGGCAGACTCTCGCACACACACACACACACACACAGTCTGTCTCATCTGTAATGAGCTGTGGTCTGTTATCAGTCATTACAGGAAGCCTGATTATACAAGTAGCATTCTGCACACGCTCACAGTGGAACTTCCTGAAGGTGACCTTTTGGTGTTACCATAGAAACCACCTCTCTCTCTCTCTCTCTCTCTCTCTCTCTCAGCTCCGAGATGCTCTGCTTGTATACAGGGGGAATAAGAGGGCGGGCCGGGGGTGAGGGAGAGAGCCAGAGCGAGACAGAGAGGGGAGGGTACGGGGGGCAGAACATGACACAGAACATTTTCTTCCATAGAGAAGTAAATTAGGATACTGCACTAGGACAAACAAATCGTTTTGTGAAATTAAAATAACGATGTTTTTATTTATCATTCATTAAATTACATAACAATCCAGTTTTTCCAAACATACCCTTCACATGATTATGTCACTACATGAACCTACATGAAACTCATTTAAAGAAGGTATAAAGGGTATTTAAGGCCATTACTTCTTCTCACTGAGGACTCGTATTGAGTTTTTTCACTGCTTAAATTAAAATAAAATACCTGATTGTTTTTGTTTTTCAACACTGAATACTGAGCTTGCTATATTTAACTCCCATAAACCACCCTGTCTTTATACCAAATTTAATCAGCTTCAATCTGGTGCTTAGCTTGTTCCTATACTTGACTTTATAACTAACACCAAGTTTTGTTTCAGAATTTTCTTTTAATTAATTGAGTTGCATCATGAAGTAAGAAGTTTAAAAAGAGATTGAATTATTTAAAAAAATGATAATGCAGGAATTTACTTTTGAAAACAATGAAGGCAGTTGTGATAAAGTAGTCTAGATGTGGTAGCATAGTGATATGTGGGGTCACCCAAATACAAAGAGAAAAAAAAACAGTTGCAGATGGACTTCCCTCATTGCAAAATGGGGACACAGGGACATATGTTGCACAAACATGACCTGGATTTTTTTAATAATTTTAATAATAATCACATAAACAAAGCAAGAAACAACATCACACAAATGAAAACACAAAAAACAATAAATTAATTAAATTATAAATGTTTGAAAACATGTGAAAAACTACAAGAACAGGCAACATTTTCCCAGACTGGAATGAACACACGTCAACTTCAGAACCACAACTGCCCCGAGGCTGGAGCTTAGAATCAACTGACTTCAGCAAACAAACAACAAAAGGCACAAAACTGACAACAACTGAACAAGACAACTTTAATTATCGACAACTTAAGACGAAGAAGAATGACATCAGTGATGTGTTTAACAACAAAATGTAAACAACTCTCCATTTGCTCAAACTTTGACCACACACTGAAATATCCGTGGGGCCTACAACATGCTCTCTCATTCAAACTTTGACTACGTGCTTAACATTTATCATTCAGACTGTTCCTTTCTTGATTTACATTGTTAGACTCTATTCAACATATTCGCTGAGTAACCAATGTCGTTCTTCTTCTCAGAGCAGAGAATCAGTGCAGTCTGCAGAAACGACAAATGTTTGACAACTCTGACAGCGGTGGCCCTGAAATCTCTGCGGACATTCAGAAAAACCTCGAGCTCGTTTCACTAAGTGCAAACGTCATTGACATATAAGCCTCAAAAATCATGTCCTACCTTTCCCGATGCCTTTATTACTTTTTCTTTTTTTAAATCGCCGTTTATTTCCACGTGTTTACTTCGCGTTGATTTCCCAGCGGCCTGAAATTGAAGTTCGAGTCCCGTGACTTTCTAATGATTCCATTGGTTGTAGAGGTTTCAAGGAGGAGCTGTGGGGTTTTCTTTCCCACTGCTCACGTACGCCCCCACTGTGTGGGTGTGAGACCTGACACAGTAGACATGTATTGTATTCTGGTATATTTACAATAATTGGCTCATTTGCTGTTCTGTTATTAAATTTACATTAGTATTAAGACAGTTGACATCATTTAC